CAGCAGCCTGAACTCTGGGACCCTCTGCCTCAGAGGCGGGTTCCTGCCATCAAGGGGAGCCGAGGCCAAGCCCTGAAATCCGTGCTTGGGTGTGTGCGGAGCCTGGAAGACCCTCCGGCCATGACCCGCTCGGGGGGGGAAGGGGCGGTGATGGAACGTGCGTGGGGTACGCGGGGAACTGGTCGAGTCCAAAGAGACATTACTCGCCACCAAAGGGCCCTGCTGAGGCGCAACCACCGCCGGCTGGCGGGTGGGCGCAGGCACTTTGGAGGGGAGTCGCACCCCCTCCCACCTTGAGAGGCGGTAACCCCTAACCAGCCAGCTCCCCCCTTGACGTTCCACGTTCAACGGCCGCAGCGCGCGTGCGCCACCCCACGCCGCCTCCGGGCTGTGTGCAGACAGAGTAGAGTGGGTGCACGTAGAGGAGGCGGGTGCGCGCTCGCACTTCCCCTCGCGCACGGCTGAGTAGCGGCGCTTGCGTATTTGCGTAAGGAGTGCTGGCGGTTAACGGCCGCCGCGCCGCGGGATAATTCGAAACGGGGAGGGAGCGAGCGCCGAGCGGCTCGGGCCGATGTGAGTCTGAGGTTGCTGGGTGCGGGGCTGGCACTGGGGGGCCGGGGAGGAATGATGCCGCTGCCTGTCAGTGTCGGGGCTGGCCGAGGCACCTGGGCAGGGGGAGGTTGGTTCTGTCACGGCTGTGTGTGAGAGTGCGGGGCTGTAGGCGGTCGGGAGTGGGGGGATGCTGGGCTGGCTTCCCGGGAGCGCGGGGTGGTGGCGCTAGCCCGGTTCGCAGCGGCGGGGCGGCTGCCCGAAGCCTCGGGTGTCTGTATTCCCAGCCCTCCCCCGCCGCTTCGGCTGCGCCTCAGAGAAGAGCTGCCCCAGGCTGCGAGCCAGCGATGTTGTGCGTGGCCTGGGCACTGCTCTGCCTAGATCAGTGGTTCCCAAACTTTAACAACCTGTGAACCCCTTTCACTAAAATGTCAAGTCTCGCGAACCCACTCCTAAAAATGAATATTTCCAGGGATTTTCTCCTTTACCTGAGCATAAATTATAAAAGCAGTGATCTTGGAAATATAAAATTTGTTTTTATGATATGCTTATTACACACTATTTATTATTAATTATTAATTATCATTACAGTATTTTTATTACATTATGAAAACGGCAACACTCTTCCAAGATCTCACTTTCGTAGCTTGTATCACTTTGAATAAGCCTGTTATAAGACAAGGCTTCTATGTTTCATCAAGGAATATCAGATGTGAAACAGCATGAAGGCATTTAAGAAGCCAACTCAAAGAGTTCCTCCTACACAAGCATTCAGGTCTTCAGCAGTCCAGGCAAACAATGCACATTACAGCAAAGCTTAAAAGTGTTCATAATAATTTTAAAAACAATACTAGCTGCCTATTTAATTTTAAAAACAGCAAAAAATATCCACCTCCCTTTCCATTTCTTATAAGGAGTCTTGAAGTTTAAATCTCCTCAGTGTGACAGCTATGTTTGCTTTGATCTGCTTAGCTCTTGGAAGTCCAGGGGCTCCGGGCTGCTGGCCCCATGCTGCCCAGGATCCCTAGGGACAGCTCTGACTGCCATTAGAGAATTTTTTCCCGAGAACCCCCTGTAACATTTTGTGAACCCCCAGGGTTTGTGAACCCCAGTTTGGGAACCACTGGCCTAGAATGACCAGACAGTGAGCATGAAAAATCGGGACAGGTGGGGGGTAATAGATGCCCATCTAAGAAAAAGCCCCGAATATCGGGACTGTCCCTATAAAATCGGGACATCTGGTCACTCTGGCTCTGCCCCAGCTAGCAGACGTGGCCTGGCTCCTTCCTGAAGGGACCTGCTGCCTTTCAAATGCCCAGGCTGTTAAATCTCACCGAGCAGTCCGGCGACATTAACAACAGAAAAAACAGGGGAGATGATTCATAGCACTGACGATGAAACCTGCACCATTAACTGGGCAAAACCCTTCTATATGCTGCAAGTACCAATTGTCCTATGCCGTGCCTCAGGGCTAGGTAATAAAATAAGACTTTTTCCTTCTCTACCGTTTTTACAAATTTTTTTGATGAAGGGTTTTATAAATGGAATATACTTCAATTACACCGTTACAACACATTATTTGTGTTTTCATCTATTAAGTAAAAACTGGCTTATGTATGACTAGCAATTGAAATGTTAAATTCTGTTTAATTTCTATCTCACTTTTTCTCACACATTTCCTGCCCTGATATGATTTTATTGTTACAGCTTGAGTTTTATAGCCATTCCTTTGCTCATTACCTTGGTATATACATGGTTACACCTTTGTAGCCCACTTATTATTTCTAAATAAAAAACATAACAGAGAGGAGCTACTTAAAAAATACCACAAACTAGTGATAATTTTTTCTCCTGTTTTTTCTGTATCAGAAAGTTTTATGTTTCAGCCACCAAAGTTGATGGAAGATTTGGAATAAATATTTGCAAATTATGTAGAGGAGAATAAAGTGGGATGGGTAGGTAAATATGCATAATGACAATAAAATGCCTCAAGTATAACCATTATTGATGGTGGTAGAAGGGAGCTGAATCTTGTAGGTAGTTATGTAAAAGGGAGAATTACAATATAAAGTGGTAGACATCTTTAAATTTAAAGATCATGCCCAGCCTATCCCACCCCCAAGTTAACAAGACACAAGTATCAACTTCTCATTGTTTTACTCATATGTGTTGAGGTAGTGGTATAACAAACAGGTAGAGTTGGCAACTGTTTTTCATTCCTCTGTTGGGTTGGCGGGGAGCCCATTGGGAGCAGTTTGCCTATGTACATAGGGACATCCTTTGTATCATCCTGAAAGATCTTGATGAAAATTTCACAGAGAAATTCAGCAATCGTCTCGTGAAGGTTTCTAGGGCTGGCTGCCTTATTTCTTCCTCTGGGGTAGGATGCTTTCTCACTTTGGTCTCTGATGAGTTTGGCTGGCATCCTTGCAATAAACAGGCTAGCAACACGTGGGCCTAAGTGGCTTCAGGATGTCAGTAGCAGCTGTGCTGTCTGTGCCTTTGTTACCCTTCCGGAGTGAGATACTAGCTAAAACCATCACCATCCGTGGAAAACTGCTAGTATTAAATGCCATTGCCCTATATCGGTGGTTCCCAAACTGGGGTACGTGAAATGTTACAGGGGGTTCTCGGGAGAAAAAATTCCCTAATGGTGGATAGAGCTGTCCCTAGGGACCCCGGGGCCAGCAGCCCGGAGCCCCTAGACTTCGAAGAGCTAAGCAGATCAAAGCAAGCATATCTATCGCACTGAGATTTAAACTTCAAGCCTCCTTATAAGAAATGGAAAGGGAGGTGGAAGAAAGAAATGTGAACTTTGGCAGCTGTATACCCATGTAATTTGTATCAACCAAAGTTTGTAGTACAGATATGTCCTTGGAATTTAACATATTTCATCTCTGGAGTGGATAATGTAATACTTCTGCAATCTAGCCGGCTCAGTCAGCAAATTAATATAAATGTGAGGAATTTTGTCAAAATTCACAGCTACTTTCCTCTGCTCCTTCCCCCATTAGATCTCACATTTTTGTGGAGATCTAACATTGTTTCTCCCTTGCAGTATCAGTCAAATATTTTGGCTTTTTAAAGTGAACTGTTTTACTGCTGGGGTAAGTTCTATAGAAAATCTCCAAAACTTCAAAAATATACCTTGCAAAACAAAAGTTTGAACTGGTGACATTATAAATATCAGTAATAATTTTTTATCCTGTTTTTAAGGCTGGCAGCAAATGTCAATTGTTCGACTAATCCAAAGGTTCTTGTATTATGAGAAGGGGTAAATAACACTTCCTTATTTACTTTATACCACTCATGATTTTATAGACCTTTCATATTCCCCCCGCCTCCCTTAGTCGCCTCTTTTCCAAGCTGAAAAGTCCCAGTCTTATTCATCTCTTCTCATACGGAAGATGTTCTATACCCTTAATAATTTTTGTACCCTTTTCTGAACCTTTTCCAATTCCAATATAAATTCTATCCAGAAGAGTAATCAGAGGTAGATATGAAAGATGAATGCGGGGCTTCAGCAAAGAGATCCTTGGGTAACACACTAGTGAGAAGTGTAGTCAAGAGCTAGGCTTAATATATTTAGAGTACTGTGTTTTCTCTCCCATCATAACAATAAAAGCAGTTAGAAACCAGGCATTCCTACCAAAGGCAGGCAACTGGACTAGTAGGTATATCTTGTAGTATAAACTGTGGGTTAATTGGGCGCTACTCAGCTCTTGCTGGTCTAGGTCGTGCTCCTTAAGTCAAGGTTGAAACTATTTGGTGAGGCAGCACCAAGAAAAGCTTGAACTGCCACTGTTTGTGGCTTTGTGTAAGTAAATATTGCTGTCTGGGATGTCAAGTTATTAGCTAAAAGAAGAGTTTGGTGGAAAAAATGATCCCCATTTAAAAAAAAAGTTCTTCTAAACTTTCTTTAAAAAACATCTTTCCTACTAAATTTAGGTGTTTTTTGTTTTGTTTTGTTTTTTTATTTTAGGTACAGATTCTAAAGGATGATGTCATTATTAACCTGAAAATTAGCTAGTAAAGCTATCTGAACATGCTTTTTGGGGTAATAAATGATGAGGTCTGTTTATTATGGAGTATGATTTGGATGAGAAATTTATTAATCTTACTCTTGTACTGATAATGGCTCTTCATCTGAAAAATTACACTATATACTGATTGAAAAAATGTTTTCTTTGATAACTTTGACTTTTTTCTCCTAGCTTCACAAATTAAGCACCTTAGGAAAAACAAATCATGACAAGACGTGAAGCATTTCTACAAGTTGTATCTACAGATACTGTTGAAGAGTTTGTGCATTATATGCAGCTTCATGTAAGTAATCCATGATAAATATGGATAATAGTAGCAAAATCCTCCCAAGCCTATCAATATTTAGATTTTTTTTAAAAATCTTCCATGCTAGTAACTGCAACCATGTTTAGAATAATTATTGTGGTAAATATTAATTTAAAAATTAGTATTTAAAGTGCATTGTCAACTTAAACTACTCATGAGTTCTTCTGGCTACCTATCCAGTATACTAACATTAATTTGTTTCTATTTTCTTCTCCTTTCCCCTACTTTTTTGAGATATTTTGTCTTCTCATCTCTCCTTCTGGTATTTTTTGGCTTCCCATCACCTTTCGTATGTCCTCTATTCATTCCATCTTTTCTCCGCTAAGATACAGCATGTGCTGTTATTGGATCTCAATGAAACTGACTTAAGCATATGTATATGCTTAGTTTGCATAGGATACTTCTGTTTCTCAGCAAAGCTTAGACTGAGTTCTACTCAGTTTCACTATTATGCTGTTATGAGAGCCTTCCATGTAAGTCTATCCCGCAGGGGAAATTTAAATATGAGCTATTTGCTATCCCATGCCAGATATAAATTCCTGAGCTCCATAAAGAGATATTGAAACAAAGTATAATTTCATCAAATTATATACATATGAACTATTAAATAGACTTTAGAGTTAAGTATTACAAATGGCAAATACCATAAATCACTGTCTTCAGTTGAGAAGCTTAATTGCCAAATAACTTAATCAGGAGTAGACTTTCAAAATGGCAAATGAAGATTTAACCATGTGATTCCCATTAATAAAGAATTGGACAATTATATATTTCACACTACTTTGAAAATGTGCTTGTTTTAACCCTGACTCAAAAATGAAACATTATTCACTGCAGATATAATACCAAGTAACTACATTGTATGTATGTTTTATAAAACACTGTTGTGTTTATATAAAACTTGCTCGCTCTCAAACTATGTTCATAGAGGAGAAACACTGCTGAACTGAGGAGCTCTCTAATAGCATTGATGTTGCCTAAACTAATTGTAACTGTGGTCACTGGACGGGCTAGACTGAGAATGCTCAATCAGGGCAAACAGCAAAGAATAGGGCAGCTGATCCCCAAAACTAGTGAATTATTCTATAATTAGATTTCACCAAGCCAGTAACCAAACACCTTCTGTAATGCCTTACTCAGTTACTGGTTACTAAGACACCAAAATACAGTTCCCTTCAAGCAATCCAGCCTTTGGCTCCCACCCAGACAGCCACATCTAATATAGCGAGGGTTACTAAAAACCGTATTCACCATATATAAAGTTCTACCAATCTCAAGTGATTGGACACATTTCCGACTAGGTCAATGAATATGTCAGATCTTACCCAAATTGGCTTACAGTCAATCCTTATTAACTAAACCTAAGGTTTATTTGAAAAGAAAACAGAGTTATTGTGGTTAAAAGATCATTATACATACAGATATGAATAAAGTTCTTAGGTTAGGTTTCAGAGTGGTAGCCGTGTTAGTCTGTATCAGCAAAAAGAACGAGGAGTACATGTGGCACCTTCGAGACTAACAAATTTATTTGGGCATAAGCTTTCGTGGGCTAAAACCCACTTCATCAGATGCATGCAGTGGAAAATACAGTAGGAAAATATATATACAGAGAACATGAAAAAATGGGGGTTGCCATACCAACTCTAATGAGACTAATCAATTAAGGTGAGCTATTATCAGCAGGAGAAAAAAAACTTTTGTAGTGATAATCAGGATGGCCCATTTCAAACAGTTGACAAGAAGGTGTGAGTAACAGTAGGGGGGAAGAATTAGCATGGGGAAATAATTTTTAGTTTGTGTAATGACCCATCTTAATTGATTACTCTCATTAGAGTTGGTATGGCAACTCCCATTTTCTTTCTCTCTCTCTCTTTCTCTCTCTCTCTCTCTCCTTATTTTCCACTGCATGCATCTGATAAAGTGGGTTGTAGCCCACGAAAGCTTATACCCAAATAAATTTGTTAATCTCGAAGGTGCCACATGTACTCCTTGTTCTTTTTGTTCTTAGGTCATTTTCATAGCAGAGATGGTGAGGTTACTGATTTGTAAAAATCCTTCTGAAATCAGTTTAAAAGGTATAGTCCAATAGACAGTCCATGTGCAGAGATTTGTCAAATTCTTCCATGACAAATTGCAGGGATAATCAAGAGTAGACCTGGACACTTTAATCTTGTGATTTAGACTTTCCCTGACAAAAATTTAAGCAGATCTGAGATAAAACAGGATCAGGACCTTTATAGCTGAAGCAAGTTGTGGTTACAGCAGGGCTTCCTTGGCTGAAGAATAGGAATGTATATTGTTGCATTGAAGCTAATCTGTTTCCTAGACATACACTGGTAATTTAGTTGCTTTCATTAGCATAAAACAATTAACCATCAAACCAATCACAGGTAGTTTACTACAAATTTCAAAGAGAAATGAAGACAATATTATTACACCACAAATTCCATCTAAATGTTAATATCCCCTTTTGATCTCTGAATCAATAGAATACAGTAATGAAACATAGAAACAGAAGCTTAGCATCTAAAAACTAATTATATCACATTGTTAAACTTCTAACAAGATCTAGGTAAACACAGACAAATACAATTATTATCTACTTTTGATCTTTTAACAATACAGGCCTACATGCCAAGCACTTTAATCTATTTAACATGACTTTGCTAACTATCTACAAGGAATGGCTCTGTTTTACCATTTCAGTACTCTTCTAATATGTCCGTAAGGGTTGTTAAAGCCTGCTGGTTGCTTAACCCTCGCTGGCTCAGTGTTAAACTAATTGTTCTGGGTGAATTCAGTTCCCACATGGATGACTGTTACTGAGGGTCATCTGAGGACTTTATGATGCCTGTACGCGTGTGTGAAAGTTAGGTGTTTGACCATTATTTGCCCTTTTTAAAATATTTTTTTATTATTTTGAAGCTGGGATATACACCTTATGCCAGGGTAATTTTGGTTAGCCTGCATTTAGAAGCTAACAAATCCTGTTAGGGTTGAGGGCTGTGAGGAGGAAAGGAATTTTGTCAACAGACTGCTCAGTTGATACTTTGTTAGGGCATCACAATGAGATGCTGTCCTCTAACATTGATACAGATTTCAAATGTGTTGGTTCTTTTAAAATTTAACCTCCACTCTGAATTGTGCTATTTATTAATACTTGCTTTTTATATATTTCCAGCATTCAAGAAAGGAATTTACCCTTAAGTTACACACACAATTCATATACTTTTTCACCTTTTGCTTTAGACAAAAGCTTTGCTAGGAATTTCTTTATTTTTCTATGCAGTGTTGTTGTAGCCATGTCAGTCCCAGGATATTAGAGAGAGACAAGGTGGGTGATGTACTATCTTGTTTCTCACCAACAGAAATTGATCTAATATCTACCTTGTCTCTTTATTTTTCTAAACATTCTTAAACCTATTGGAGGGGAATCTTGGTTCTATAAAGCCTAGCAGCTTCACAAGAGGGGAGCCCTTATGAGGTACACAGGAAGAGAAGGAATACTGTACTTGGCCAGGTGGCCGCTGAGTCCACTGCTAACCGCAGTTTGAATCAACTCTTCTATGGAGGGGAGCTTTGATCCTGCAGACCTCTCAAGGTCCTTAGCATTTAGTGTCCCATTCTACAGAGCTTAGGAAATGAGTATGGGTAGGATTTCTCAAGGTGTTCGGGAGCTGGTGGAGTTTGGGTAGCAAGACTTAGAAGCAGTGCAGTGTACCACAGGACATTGTTTCTGTCCTTCAGAACTCCTGTCTCCAGCTAAGTTCTTCAGGAATGGGAGCGCCTATTCCTTAGACTTTCACACTTTTATTTTCATCTTTTCCGTTTATCTTGGAATTTCTTCCATTAGACTGCACTGATTACTTCTTTTGAATGCTATCACAAACCTTTATCTAAAAATACCATCAGTGCGGGATTCTTGCTTCTGGGTTCTAATTTTGTAATACGAGAATGGTGAAATTCCCTTTAGTTGTAAGTCAATAAGAACGTGATAGGAACATTTGGAGCATTTATACTCAGCAGGTGATAGTGTGGTGATCAGTGGGGAACCTGGTTCATGATTAAGGCTACGATTATGTCATGGAAGTCACTGAATCCATTGACCTCCCTGACATTTTCTGCCCTGGGGCTGGAGCTCCCAGCCAGCCCCGCCCTTGGAGCTCCTAGCCCCCAGTCTGGTGGAGCGACCCCGCAGCTGCCCAGCCGCGGTGGGTGGCCCAGCAGCAGTGGGTGCTGAACTCACCTATCCCTTTTGTCAGGGATATTTTTAGTGAAAGGCTACTGTGAATTTTTATTTCCCATGACCGGTCCATGACTTTTACTAAAAATACTTGTTTAAGATTGATCCCACTTACTATTGCCCTCAAAGACTTTGAGTTAAGGAAGTTCTATTTGTTTTTTG